TTGATATTAAATAGAATTGCGAGGATTCATCAAAAATAGAATTTGTTTGGCTATAATCCTTTCGCAGTACAGGCAGCTAGCACCTAGGTATGCCTTTGCACAATCATATACGAACTCGCTAATATGAAATGATTATCATTATTGTTATAACTTATAACAAAACAAAAAAACATAAATTTCAACATTTTTAGAAGAAATTCATATATTTAAATACAAATAAATGATTTTAAAGAAAAATAATAATGATAAGTTGTTGTTCCATGCAGAGATGCAAGCGGCAGAGGGCAAACTTTGTCGAAGGAAGAGCAAGACATTTTCTGGCTATTGCTTTATTAGTGAACACTGCGACGAAGAATGCAAAGAGAAAGAGGGGGCAAAGAGGGGTATGTGCATTAAGAAGAGCATCTTTAGACGTTATTGCTACTGCTACCACACGTGCAAATAAGCATCAAATGCTCTCAGAATTCTCGTTTTTGTGTATAATAAATAAAAAGTGGTGTGTTGTCTTGTGTGTGAACGAAAAAAAACACTGTCAATTCACTAGAATTGTAGTTATTATGAGAAAATTGAATTAAATTATGTTTATATTATGACGGTCTTTTCTTGGGATCCGTACCGTAAGGTTTGGTGTCAAGAGAAATAATCGAAATTATTTGTGTTTATACTGATTGAGTAGGCTTGGCTAGTTGGCTATTATGATTGGTGGTAGCAAAATGATTAAAAGAATATAGTTATTCATTTATATTGTTCATTAAAAATGATTGGATAATTATTTTTTTTTAAAAATAAATTAAATATGAATAAGAACTATATTATCCACAAGTGCAAATAAGCATAAGCATCAAATGCTCTCGAAGTTCTCGTTTCTTATTTATGATAAATAAAAACTGGTGTGTTGTCTTGTTGTGAAAGAATAAAAACGCTATCAATTCACTAGAATTGTAGTCATTGTGAGAAAATATTATCAAATTATGTTTGTATCATCATGTTGTATGGTCTTTTTCTTCGGATCCGTGCTGTAATTTTTGGTGTCATGCGATCAAATAATCTAAATAAACTTCAAGAAATTATTTGTGGTTATACTGACTGAGTTGACTTGGCTATTATGATTAATGTTGTCATGTCGAAGAATTTTTATTTAATTTAGCGTATAAAAAATGACTTGAGTAAATACAACATGTAATTATTACAAGAGGCAGGAAACTACCATCAAGCTTTCATCTCGTAGTTTAACCAAACTATTGATTGAATTGATCAGATTCAACTTTCCGTAAATAAGGTGTACAAATTAGCAAATTTAACCGGTAAAAATTACAATGATAATATAAATATTATTATACGTTATGCGCTATTAAGTGTATATAACTTAAACTCGTATATAAATGGATTCCCAAAACTAAAGTTCAAACACAGAGTGACAAATAAGTGAATCTTAGCAACATGGTGTGTTTAATGTTTCCAACCTTTACAGCTACAATGTCATGACCTGAAATTCCAACCACGGAGCCGTAATGGCGTCCAATATATACTTGTTAGGCAAGTCAGCATTATCTAATGAATTAACCATTTTTAACAACTTATAAGCAGAATAATAATAAATAACAACTGAAATGCTCCGAAATACAAATAATAAATACATGAGTAATGCAGTCTATACTAATCCTAGAAATCTGGAGTCATAAATACATGAGTGACTAAAATACACAAATATAGTCTGAAATGAAATACATGTGTCTGAAACTAGATAAACAGTAAAACATGATAGAAGGAGACTTCAGGGACTGCGAACGTCGTACAACTCTACCTCAAGTCTCCTGAAGAACTCGGATCCGAGCAATCTCCTCTACGCGCCGCCAGGACCAACAGCGGGATCTGCACAATAAGTGAACAAGTGTAATGTGAGTACCAACCGACCCCGTATACTCCATAAGTGTGGAGCCTAAACTCGACGAAGTGATGGCTAGGTTATGACAAGACACTAATTAATAACATGTACGAATAATAATAAAAGAGAATAGAAATATAGAGAAAATAAATAAACTCATAAGAACGAGACCCGAATGTAAACTAGCAGAGCGCCCCAGAATAACATCAACTCATAACCTCATATCGCAGTACAGAAACAGAACACGATAGCTACAAATAGTTACAACACACCATACCCCATTACGGCACGCAACGTGATCCCAATATCATTTCAATATCTGTTGCGGCGTGCAATCCGATCCCAATGTCATATCAATATCTGTTGCGACATGCAACCTGATCCCATTATCAATTTATTTCAATATTATTGCGGCGCGTAACCCGTTTCCAATATCAACTCATTAACATGAACAACTCAACAAAACCAAATTCCGTAATCCCAACACAAAAGAAACTAAAGTGTATATAACATCAAAGAACTACAAGTACAAACAGAGAACTACCAATATCTCATATTCAGAAACCTCGATAAATCATTAACACAAGAATAGCTAAAAGACTCACATAATCCGATACAACATATTAAAGTGCAACAAATAAGGTAAAGACAATAAAGACAAGTGCAAGCATGGAACAATGAAGATATACAATTAATACAAGTAGGAACACATAACGAGTAAGCAGATTTTGATCGAAGAATTAATAAACCAAAATTTGTAACAACTAAATGACACATAACAAAAAAGGCATGAATAACAAGTAAGGACATGTAACAATCAAAGCAGGTAACGAGTTATAACATGAAATAAATGACATAAAATTAAATAATCCAATACTTTAACCCATGACAGCGCATATACACTCGCCACCTCGCATATACGCCGTCCCCACAAATAATTCACGTAGCAAATAGAGCAATAAATCCTAATTCCTTCAGGTCAAAATTAAATACAACACTTACCTCTTTTCTCAATCAAATCAATAATCAACCACGACTTTGACTTTCGAACAAGCCTTCAATCCAACCGAATCTAGTCAATTATCCATCAATCAATCCAAAATAAGCTTTAGAAACTACCATACGAATAAAAAAAGTTCAATTTTGATCATGTTTAGAAAAGTCAACAAAAGTTAACCCCGAGACCGCTTGGTCGAAATCCGAGATTCAGACCAAATCTTGATTATCTATTCACTGTCCAGCCCGGATATAAAATTTGTCTTGAAATCCGACCTCAATTTGAGGTCTAAATCTCAATTTTATAAAATCCCTAAATTGTATCTAAAACCCCTAATTTCTACTATGAAATTCATAGATTTGATATTAAAATTTCATGAAAAGTAGTTAGAATTGCTTGAAAACTAGTTAAAGATGCTTACCAATGAATTTGAAAAGAAAACCCTCTTCAAAAATGCCTCTGGAGTGTTTCGGGTTGAACAGAAAAAGGGCAGTCCACTGCACTAAGCTCCCGCTATGCGCAAAGTAACGAACCTACCAGTCGTTTTAAGAATTAGCACCCCGTTCGGTGGCTTAAGGTCTCGAGCAGCTTCGTATTATGACTTGCGTGTGTAGTCGAGCTCGGTTTTCGGATGATTCGGGATTGATTTGGAAGAATAATTCTTATTTTTAGAAGCTTAAGTGAAAAGAGTTGACCGGAGTTTGACTTTTGTGAAGACGACTTCGGAATGGTATTTTGATAATTCCCATAGTTTCGTATAGTATTTTTGCACTTAGCCATGTGTCCGGAATTGGATTTGAAGATCCGTAGGTTGATTTGATGCATTTTGGCAAAAATTGAAAAGTTGAAAGTTTTAAAGGTTGAGAGGTTTGACCGGGAGTTGGCTTTGTTGATATCGGATACAGATTTCTATTCCGGGAGTTGGTATAGCTCCGTTGTATAATTTGGGACTTGCATGCAAAATTTGACGTCATTTCGGGCTAATTTGATATGATTCAGCGCGAGTTCGATTTGAGGTACGCTTCGTAGTTTTGATATTGTATGATGTCATTTGAGGCCTTGAGCAGGTCTGCGCTATGTTAAAGAACTTGTTAGTATGTTCGGACGGGGTCCCGGTGGCCTCGGGTGTGTTTCAGAGAGGCTACGGGCCATTTTTCCATGTTTTTAGAATGTTGATTTGCTGGTGCCTGATGTCCTTATTCGCGATCGTGAAGGTCCAGTTGTGATCGCATATGCTGTTTGGTGGCTGGCCCTTTTCCTTCTTCGCATTCGCATTATACGGTCTACGATCACATGTGTATGAGTGTTGCTTCATCACGTCTGCAGTAGGTGTTTCCCGATCACGTAGTCGGCGACCATGCTGGGGAGGTCGGTACCTTTTTCTTCGCATTCGCATAGAGAGGTCTGTGATCGCGTAAGCTGAGTCAGTGATGAACCGCGTTTGCATCCCTTGTTGCACGTTCGTGTAGTGCTTTTGTGAGGGCAGTGTTATTTCTTCTTCGCGATCGCATGCGTATTTCCGTGATCGCGATGTACAAGTGACTGGGAGCATTTAATCTATAAGCTAATTAGTGCATTTAATTTTGATTTCACATCTGTCATCTCTTGCTGCCACTTCGGAGTTGGAGCGGTAGTGCTAGATGAACCCACATAACCACGATGGTATCTCGCATATGTCTGTTTGAATGCTATAATTGGAACTACACCCAAGCCTAAACCTCGAACACGGCCGGGGTGCTTGGGACCGAATACTATGCCAAGTGCATCATTTGGTCAAGGTTCATCTAGACTTTCTGCTCTTTCACTTCGAATTTCTTCAATTCTTTCCTACAAAATTTGAAAAAGCATAAATTAAGCAATAGATCAAATGACTGATACATCGAAAAAATATCTTTATCATCCCAAGGCCGGGCTCGAAATTCCTTGTAAAAGTACAGAAAAAAAGCTAACAGCAGGAAGTTGGTTAAAGATTGATCCGTTGAACTTTAAGCTCCGTAACGATAGTTTATTTCAGGTACACTTGAGTGAAATCTTCTCCTTTCCAATTAATAAGTGCGATATAACATGTACTGGATTATTCACTATTCATACATTTCTTTGATTTTGTCACATGAACTGCAGAGACAAGAAAAAATCACCAGCTCCAAATGTGTCTTCTTATACTCCTATTGGTGTTGATTTATTTGTGTCCTAAAAAGATCAACCACATTGAATTCAACCTTCTTTTGAACTTGTTTCTGTTCAAATTCCTCTACTTTGCCTTATTTTAATGTATATAAGCTTTATTAACAGAGATTAGTTGAGGATGATATGGAAAAGGTTAAAGGATTTCAAAGAGAACATTAATTTAAGCAGTTTCCTCAGCTTCTTTCGCTATTATAAAATGCAAGAATCCAAATGAAGCAACTACCTAATGTCTAAATGACACAAGATTTCTACTTTCAGTAATATCAACCCATAAACTTTTAGACGGCAATAAAAGATTTAACGACAAAAACATACATAGGAGCGGTTGCTCTAAAAATAGCTGTGGAAACTTCATTCTATATTGAAATAGTTGTGGAAACCCACTATACAAGCAGTACCAATATAAAATAGAATTTCACAGCAGAAGGCACCAAAAATGTTACTTACCCCAATCACCATAGTCTCATCAGTTACATAACTCTCATCTTTCCTTTTATGAGTCTCAGCCCATATTCTGCCTCGGTCAAAAGCTTTTCCCATCGCCTTCTGAAATTTTTAAAATAAATAATGTTAGTAGTTAATTGAGAATATATATCTTATCTAAGTTAATCGCTTAAACTACCATTGCATCCCTTCTTCTAGCCAAACTCATAGCACCACAAGTATGAGGAAGTTGGTTTTTTCGAATCTGTGCATTCTTCTTGCAACGCTCCTACAAATTAAATAGGTGAAATTCTATTACATAAGACCAAAATAAGTAGAAGCAGAAGCTACTATGATATAAATAAAAATTTAAGTTCAGTGATTGAATTTATCCATCGTCAAGACAATACATATAGAACTTCTTCAGAGAACTTTAAACTCATGAATTACATCATGTTATATGTTATTGTGAAGATAATCAAACACAGGTTTGTCTTTTGTTCTGATCCATCAACAAAAGTTTTACCAACAAGAAAAATAACTTCTCTGATCTCTAGTCTATTTTTTGGTAGATTTATCTCACTAGCCAGTTGAGCGTAACTTTCGACCAATAAAAGAAAGATGAGTAACATGTTCACATTGCCAATGTCTCTGTTTCTAGGCAAGTTTAGTTTTGGGTTTTCAATCTAAGGTTGGCATTTTTCAGAGTAGAGCAACAGTACAAAAGCAGCAGTAGAAGCAATAGCAGAAGAAAGTACCTTTGTCTCCTCTTTCAAGCGATAAGTAACATACAGTGCCCATTGGTCCATCGGTATGCCATCCAGAGCGTTCTTGATGATATCTTCTTTACTTAATAATGGTTCTTCAGCCTCCTTCCATAGTTTAAGCATGTACTCCTTCCACTTTTTGTTAAGGGAGCTGTTATGACACGCCTTTGCCATTAGTTGATGAATCCTAAAGAAAAACCGAGGCTTCACAAATATAAAGTAAATTAATTTACTGCAGTTTTACATATACAACTAAAAGATACAAACTAAACAAAAGAATTTAGATGGCATTACCACTATTATATCATTAAAAACACGGTCCACAAAATATTTGGGCATGGATGACCATTTCTCAAAGCCAATAGGAAAGTACATAGGATTTGTTGCAAGCTGCCCTAAAACTCCAGCAATTAGGCCAGCCGATTTCCCAATTGCTGCATGATATTCATCAAATTCTACAATTATACGCAATCCTTTATCCGAGTTATGGACATCCTTAACCTTCAATCTAATATTTTTTATTAATTTACTTTCATCTATAACAAAATAAAGTCAAGTTAAAACATTAAACAAGGAAAACAAAAAGAATACTCAATCACTTGAAATTTATATGTACCAATACCATCGGCAAACCAATGAGGCTCTTCGTTGCTAGTACTACGTCTAGTTTGTCGTGAATAGACTGCACAGATGATGAAGATGGAACGGCGGGCTGAGCAGATACTCCATCAAATGATGAAGATGATACAACATGCTGCGAAGAGACTCCATCAGATGATGAAGATGGAACAACGTGCTGCGAAGAGACTCCATCAACTAAAATAACAGGCCGTGTAGGTTGTGTAGGCAGTGTAGAGTGTAAAGAGACTCGATAAGATGTTGAAGATGAAGCTTGAGCCTGTGATGGCTGCCTCGGAAAAAGATAAGATCTCTATTTGACTGATTTGAATTGATTTTTAACCTTATTTTGCTTCGGCATCTCTACATATATAAAGGTATATAAAGCAAAACAAGAACACCTTGATACCAAACCAGTTTAAACTTCAAGACAAAAATAACTTAAGCTTAATTAATGAAAGAAAGTAACCAGATGCAAGAACATAAAGCAATTCAAGAACAAAAAAGGACATAACTATAATCTAAACTAATTTGAAATGAAAATATATTAAGATGCTTCCTTCTAAAATATGAAAAGGGCTAGCAATGACTCTTCAAATATGTTCATCTTTGCCAATCTAATTTTCAATATCGCAATCACTTAATATTTCATCAGTTTCATCCTCCCTACACAAAAGTAGATCATTAACATCCCCAAAGTGTTGATCTAAGTCTTGCACTGGGAATGACTCATTCTCAGGAAATTCATTATCTCCTTCTCCTCCCATATCATATAAGTCTCTTGGTTTCAAGTGAACAACAGTACTTCAACCTTTATTCACCTCATCGTACACATAATATACTATTTGAGCTTGTGAAGCTTCAATGTATGCATCATGCTCTTCACGATCGCCAATGAAAAATTAACAGAAGAAAATCCCCATGCATCTATTCTAAACCCCCTATCCCTAGTTGTGTCATTCCATATACACTTGAATAGTGTAACCCGAAATCGACCATAGTAGTTAAGTTCAATGATGTCTTCTAATTTTTCATAATATGGCAAATCTGCTTGCCTCAGGTTTCTATCAGCATCACTAGCAATACAAGATGTGGATGAAGTAAAAAATACTTCATTGTTTTGAGTTTTCAATCCATTCTCTCGCTGTAAAGTCAGAAATTTGAACCCGTTGATATTAAATGATGTAAATCTTCTAGCATGTGGTGATGGACTATCTGCTAAAAACTTTAAGGCATCTGATACAGTATTCAAAATGTCTGGGTTCACAATCTGAAATAAGAATTAAAAAACTATGTTAGGCATAGTTTTAAATTTGTAAAATTCTAATATATTTGTAACAAACCTTTCGGGAAAACCAATCAATGAAGTCATTATTAACTATCTTCTCAATCTGCGTACCGGTAGGCTTTCGACCCTTCCAGTGCCTTCGTACATGATCTTTAAATTCACTACATGAAATGATGATACAAATATTAATTATTTATGTAATTTCTACATATTTAATATAATTTTTGTTTAGATTTGCATTAAATACTCACTCAATGAACGACATGACTTGTGGACAATTTAGTACCACATATCGATGTGCTTGACGTTTCACTATAAGTGACAACTTAAATGTTTCTATTGCTACTCCTTTACCAACCGGTGGAAAAATGCTAGATGAATTTGTCGAGACTCTATCCTCCGGATAATCATCAACACGACGGGGCTTATTGATTCTTGTTTCAATCCCTTCAAAATACTGAGAACCGAAAGTGAGAGCCTCTTCAGCTAGGTATCCTTCAGCTATGGACCCTTCTGGTTATGACGTGTTCCGCACATAGGACTTAAAATGTCCCAAATACCTAAATAAAAAATCAATGGTTAGTTAACGATTACAATTTAACATCTTTGTCTTAAAGAATAAACTCTAATTAAACAATAAAAAATCTTTTAGCTCTCCACAGGATACATCCATCGACACTGTTGCGGTCCCCCAAGTTTTGCTTCACCAGCTAGATGACAAGTTAAATGAACCATGATGGTAAAGAACGCTGGAGGGAATAACATTTTCAAGTGATTCATAGTGAGAAAATGTCGAGATTGAAGCCTATCAAGGTCTATTGGGCTTGAGCTTTTGGAACAGAGTTGTCGGAAGAACGAACTCAACTCTATTAACACTGCAGTCACCTTGTCAGGTAAAATATTTTGTATGGCAATTGGTAACAAGTGCTGCATGAGAATGTGAAAATCATGACTCTTTATATTAAAGAGCTTCCGTTGTTTCAAGTCGATACATCTCAAAACGTTGCTCGCATATCCATCGGGCATTTTGACATTCTTTAAGGTCCGCAAAAATATATCTTTGTTGAATCCACCTTTCTTTGTATTTAAAATAATACCCAAAGATGGACGATAGCTTCCATTCTCATCTGCCCAAAGTTCCTTCCTTATACATATTTATCTAAGATCCTTCCTAGCTTTAATATTGTCTTTTGATTTTTCAGAATCATTGAGTAAAATATATATCACATTCTCACTCACATTCTTCTCAATGTGCACAAGGTCTAGATTATGACGTAACAAGTTCGTTTCCCAGTAAGGAAGATAAAAAAATATGCTCCTCTTTCTCCACTGTCTCGATCTATCTTAATTAACAGTTTGTCTTCGAGTTCTTTTACCTTTATCATTCAAAACAGGTACTTTTCTAAAATTGACATTAATGCCCTTCACTTGTTTCAAGATGTCGGACCCTGATAATGCAATTGATGGCTCCCGTTGCTCAATTTTCCCATTAAATGAACACGTTGCAATCTAAACCGATTGCCGCTTTCAAGAAAATAATGATGACCCATAAAATACCACTTTCTACTGTGCTTCAATCTGCAAGAGCCTGTATCAAAGTTTCACGTGGGGCAAGCAAACTGAGTGTATGTATTCCATCCAGATAATGTACCAAGCCCAGAAAAATCACTAATTATCCACATCAATGCTCCTCGCATTTTAAATATTTCATTCTTTGAATAATCTAATGTCTGCACTCCATCGTACCACTATTCCCTCAACTCTTGGATGAGAGGTTGTAAATACATGTCTATGTCATTGCTCGGCATTTGATTTCCTGGAATGATCACTGAGAGTATGAATGAAGTTTGTTTCATGCACTCCCAAGAGGATGTTTGTATGGAATAAGTACCACTGGCCAGATACTATAGTTAGTTATCATTTCTCCAAAAGGATTGAAACCGTCACTAGCTAGGCCTAGCCGTATATTTCGAGGATCTGTAGCAAATTCAGGATGAAGCAAGTCAAAAGTTTTCCAAGCCTGAGAATCCTTGGGATGCCTCATCAATCAATCTTGGCTACCCTCTAAAGAATGCCATCTCATAGACTCAGCAGTTTTAGAGCACATGAACAATCTTTGCAACCTTGGCTTTAGTGGAAAGTAGCGCAATATCTTTGCAGGCTGCTTCTTCTTGCAAGCCTTCATCTTCGCCAAAATATAGCATACAATCATTTGGGCAGGCATGTATCTTATTATAATTAAGACCAAGTTTGTAGATGGTTTTCTTGGCCTCATAAAAAGAACCAGGAATCTTGGCATCTTCAAAGGCATCTTTTAACAATTCTAATATCATACTCATCGCTTTGTTAGTCATTTGACAAAGACACTTTATATGATACAATTTGATTAGAAAGGACAATTTAAAATACTTTGTACACCCTTCATATAATGGTTGATTTCCATCTTCGACCAATTCATAGAACTTTGTATAATCTTCATTATGCCCCTCAATGTGCTCTTCATCAAATATTTCTTCTCTATTTATATGATTAGAAGACACACCAGGCTCGTTGACATTGTTCCTGGTGAACCCAAACGCATCATTAATCATAATTTCCATTGGATCTTGGGGATGTAAATTATCTTCTATGACATGGGTGCTCTGAGAAGTCTGTTGAACAGTTGCATTTGATTATTCACCATGCCAATACCAAATTTTATAGTTTTTTGGGAAACGTTTAAGAATCAGGTGCTCTTCAACTACATCTCTTCTTTGCCACTTGTTAAAACCACATACCCGTGCTCAAAAGCAAAATCCAAAAATTGTCTTAGACCATCTGCATATTCAGGTGTGTTTTGTGATTTGTTAATCTAAGATTTATCACTTGGCATGGCTAGAAAGGAAGATATAAGATAACATCACAATATCAAAACTGAAAAGATAGTTCAAAAGCTTATATGTGAAATAACATCATTTCATAAGATAACAAAAATTAGTTTTGGTCTGTGAATAAAAGTAAAATATAATGCCCTAAGAGTAAAAAATAATCTCCTATTTTCAGATTTGGTCTGTGAATAAAGATAATGCCCTAAGAGCAAGATGCAGCCAATATAACATCTGATCTTGATTTGATCAACTAGTTAAAGAAATTACCTAATGAGAAGCCTCTTATGATATAAAAATGCATATAGAAAATATTTACTTCTTCTATTAGAATTAGGACATAACTATCAGAAGCTTTATATGTAGGAGCCTGCAATAATTAGTGAATATATCCACTTAATCTGAAGTAAGTTATTCTTTCAAAAATTTTGCACATACACAATGTCAAACTGTTAACTTACTACTTCAGATTCTTACAGTTGGATGACATATCTTTCTACCTATACAATTGGTAATCGTTTGATAAATAAGTTAAACCTATTATAGAAGAAAGATCTGCTAATCCGCTAGTGACAAAAGATATAATGAATCTACCTTTTAATAAAAATAAATCTGCTCAAAAGAAAGGACAAAATTTAATTAAAACGAGCTATACTCATCAAATGTTTTACTGTCGACCTCGATCCCAATAGCTTCACCAGCAGTTTTTGATCTCTCGGCTAACTATCAAGTCCATATATAATATTTAGGTTAATATTAGAAAGAACAACAACTTAAAATATCAAAATTAAGTGCATGCAATTGAAATACCAAACAAAGCAGCAAAAATTTAAAGAAATACCAAACTAATTGAACAGAAAAATAACAAAAAATGGACTCAAAATTAAAAGAAAGAAGTACTGAAACTATTAGAACATTAATATTCTCTAATAATAGCAATCGTCATTCAGTTTTCCTTTTTTCTAGTAATAGATTAGTATTTTGGATGTTATATATTCAATTGAATAAATGAATCATAGATTATCGGACTGAGGAAAATACAAATTAGAACAGAATTGGGGAAAATCGCTATATGAATGAAACCTAATAAAGAGAAAAAAACTTTTGGTACTAAATAAGCGTCATTACCTGAAGATTATTGAAGCTGCTAAATGAATTTATGATTTGAATCTCGATTCTTCTAGCCAGAGAAACAGATTGGGAGAAATAGAAGAATTTAAAGTTAGAAAATTGGGAGTTCGTTGCCTATTGAGGGAAATAGAAAGAATTGGGGGAAGGAACTGTGGGAAATAGAAATTGGGGTAAAGAGATACGATACATATGGAGGGAAGGAATTGGGGGAATTCTGGAGGGAGTCTCAAATTATGAGGGGAAAATACTAAAACTTATTGAGGGAATAGTTAAAATGTTGTGATTAAAATATTACGGCGGTTCTAACCACCGCAATACGAAATAACTGTCGCTATAAAAAAATTTAATTTGGCGGCTGGTGAAACGCCATTTTTAATTAGAGTAATATAACCGCCACAATAATTCTGATTTTTTGTAGTGTATGTTGTTAGTTTTTCATGAAAAACTCACCATGTGGAAACTAAGTTCTACTGGTTCTCCTAGTTTCCTTATTTGACCAATCCTATCACCCTAGCTTCTAAAATGCAAGTGCCAATATACTTTTTGTGAATCCTGCTGGATGACATGTAATCCTGTCCTATGAGGTATTGCTTCAGGGCTGTTCAATTGATTGATATGTGTAGTTAGTTAACTTATATGGTTAAGTGGTTAATCTGTAATTGTTGGGCTTAGTATGAGTTCATGTATGGCCCTGGACTTTGCAAATGGACACACTCTCCTATTTGAGACGTGTTTGGATCTAGGTATGCTATTCGTGTGAAAGTGAACCTGTTGAAGGCCCAGGCAGTACTGGGTTATTTTCATTTGGGCCTGCAGATGTTCAGTGTGTAATATTTATACTCATATTTATTATTTTGGGTATGTAATAATTTGTAAATAAAACAGTCGAGGAATTAGTGGAATGGGGGGGACGGGTATCCCTTAATTTTCATTTGAACGGTTAGAGAGTATGCTTATAGGGTCTATATTCTTTGTTTTCTACTCTGTTCTACATTCACTATTTCTATACACTAATAGAAAATCATGCCTATAAGAACCCGAACACTTCACCTACTTAACCTGTCTAATACCCGTACATCATCAAAAGCATGTTTGTAAGAGTTTAAGTGCCCTACTTGTTCACATATCTACTTCTATGTGCCATTAGATAACATGCTTATAGGAATCAAATGTCAACAATTATTTGCCCACTGCTCTTGGGCCTGCAGATGTTCAGTGTGTAATATTTATACTCATATTCATTATTTTGGTCATGTAATAATTTGTAAACAAAATAGTCGGGTAATTAGTGGAATGGGGGGAACGGGTATCCCTTAATTTTTATATGAACGGGTAGAGAGTATGCCTATAGGGTCTATATGCTTTGTTCTACTTTGTTCTACATTCACTATTTCTATACACTAATAGAAATCATGCCTATAGGAACTCGAACACTTCACCTACTTAACTTGTCTAATACCCGTACATCATCAAAAGCATGTTTGTAAGAGTTTAAGTACCCTACTTGTTCACATATCTACTTCTATGCGCTATTAGATAACATGTTTATAGGAATCAAATGTCAACAATTATTTGCTCAACTTGTGCAATTGCAGTGTGATTATTAGATAGAATGCCTATGGCGTCATATGCTAATATTCATCTAGATATCATGTCTATAGGGCCTTAATTGATTAGCATGCCTATAGGAATAAGAATGATAAAAATTGTGTTTAAATACCAACTATTACAGAACCTACTCATAAGGATACTATTATTCGCTTAGAAAGCATGTCAATAGGATCAAACATGGGTAATTCTGAGTTTTCAAATGGTTTCACTGTCCCATTGCGCAAATCACTTATAGATCATGTCGATAGGTTTTATAATATCTGTAATTTGTAAATTCGATAGTCTGAAGTAGTAGCACTGCCTGTAGGACGTTTTAAACTGGGATCACATAGAAGCCATGTCTATAAGACTTAACGACTATAATATTCCTTGATTCTGAAACTGCTTACGGCCTAATATGAAATTTGCACGTGTGCCTTTGTTGCTATGTGTGGAGGCTAACATGAGCCACTCATTGCTATTATGTGCAGTCCTACTTGTTTTGAATGTGCGACTAGTTTTATCATTTTGAGCACCCTAAGTAAAGTCTAGAACCACCCAAACAATAGGTCCAAAGCATCTTGGACTATAGGAATGGGACGGGTAATGCACACATAGGACACGGTTTATAATTGAATTAAAGCGCTTTAGGTAAATAACTTTAACATAGTAATTGGGTAGTAGGAGATGACAGTATGTGTCCGCTGAATAATATGAGCAACCCCTACCCTAAAAAAATTGCGAAGTATTATTTATGTTGCACGGGGTGATCCTTTAGGCTAAAAAATATAGGACCCCCCTTCCCTTTATATGCTTGCTATTCACACCTAGTCATCAAATATAAACCAACGCAGCTGTATTCCTATAACTTCTAAGACTTGTACTGATTATTTATATAGTTCAATTCTTATGTTATTTCTTTACACTATTTATATAGAACCTTCAACTTCCGCATCGTTTTTTTCACTTATATGATCACTTAGCTTAATTATAATTCAATAATCCACATAGCGTAAACTTCGGCTGGGACCCACCTCTGTGGACCTCGAAGAGTGCCTAACACCTTCTCTTCGAGGTAATTTGAGCCCTTACCCGATCTTTGGTGACGAAGACTATTTGAAACAGAATTATTCTCAAATAAGTGCCCTAACGCACCTTAAAAATCGTTAAGTGGCGACTCCTCTCTTTAATACATATTTAAAAGAGTTGTCACACATCATGGAGAATATGCTGGGGATTTATACTTACGCTCTTACCATAACGAAGTTGACTTGTGTGAATTATTTGAGGGCATGCATATCCCTTCCCTTATTTTCCTTTATTTGTCTAAATTGCTATGACATGAATATCCCCGCCCTTTTTTTCATTACTGCTATGATATGAACGTCATCTCTCCGTTTCCTTCATCTTGTCCAAGACTGCTATATCATGTCTCTCCCATCCTCATTTCTTTATTTGCTTCATTACATTCTCGCACATTTTTATGAGTTAAACTGACTTCTCTCTTTTGTCTTTTTTTTTCTTTTCTTCCTCCTATTCATCTTTACCATATTATCTACTTTCTTTTATATGCATTTTCATCATGCAAATATTTTGCAACGTGTTACTTTTTTGTGTAAAGCTTGCTTTCAACATCATACTCCACTCATGCTTATTATTAACATAGCGGCGCTTGATGAGTGTCCACACTTTCCTAAAAACACTCTTTTAAACCGGAAAGTCTTATATGCGGTAGACTAGTCAATCAACGGTGCCGACGATGGTCCCGTGCCTTTCCCTCTCAAGTTATCCACTTGAGAGTACCAGTCTAGACCTCTCTAGAAAACCATACTCTGATTTGAAATATACATGCATCATGCTAAACCTAGTACAGATTGAGACATCATTGACATAAGAACTCGCTTAGATGAACCTTGTACAAAGTCCATCGGGATTTTCATAATCCCAAAGGACACCATCATATTATGTGCATTACTTGAAGAATACGTGTCAACATACTGATCATTATTGTGAAAATGGCAAATTTGGAGGGGGGAAATAGCTAACTTTTATTTATTTGCAGAAAATAAAGCACGAAATCCCCAAGTTCGATATGGTCCAGAATATCCCGCCTTTGCTAATTGACTGGTGGAAAGACCTTGCACCATGTGACAGAAACAATGTGAGGAGAGTACTTGGTGACCTATCATCTTTGCTGAACATTCAACCAAATAGGGAACTGATCGAGATTGCTACTATGTTCTGGGATGAGAAGAGAGTTGTTTCCCGATTTAGCAATATAGAAATGACTTCTCTCTTGGATGAAATAGGGGGTTTCGCCAAGTTACATGGGATAGTCCAGGACTATTGGTGCCAGAGAATCGCACTCCACGCAGTTTTCTGAAGAAATCATATATACCCTTTGACTTTCTCTATGAGCATTATGGGCATAGCAAATCATATCGCCTTCATCATGAGGATCTAGACATTACCTCTTTGGGATAGGTGCACCGCCGGGTTTATGTTTTCATAGTCTGTTTCTTGGATTTGTTGATCTTTCTGAGGCAAAGGGGAATAGTTCATAGTCACTTAGCCATGTTCGCCAGGACATTAATGGAGGGTATCGAGGGACAAAAGTACACTATCATTCCGATGATCTTAGCTGAGATGTACCGTGCTCTGGATCGATGCAAGCATGGGTCCGGACACTTTGAGAGTTGTAATCTCTTACTACAAGTTTGGCTTCTGGAACACTTTCAGAGGGGTGATTATCACCAAGAGCTTCTATGAAGGCCACTGAATGACTACATAGCTAGTCATCATCCAAAGAAAATGACATTCCTTCCAGACAGGTTTGCAAAGCCGGGAAATATTGTAGGTTGGGTACGTTTCTTTAGCAATCTGATAGATGAGCAAGTGCATTGGATGTTTGAATTGTTTCCTAGTAGTGAGTTCATTATCATATCCAAAGGAACTACTCACTTAGTACTGATCGGGTTGCAAGGCATCTATCCTTATGCTCCTATAAGGGTAATGAGGCAAGCTGGAAGGAAATAGGTCATACCTCGGGTTTTCAACATGGTTCAGTATAAGGCAGATTTCAAAGGGGATGTCATCCTGTTAAAGTTCGAAGCGCAACACATGTGGAACTAAAAGATCATCGTGGAAGGAGAGACTATTGAACCAGACATGTATCACGTCGGTCATATGTACTACTATCTCTCTTGGTTGGAGGACGACATAGTTGGAGACATCAAACCGAGAGTAAATTTGAAAGATAGGATCATAGATGAGGTGGATGAAGCACATGTAAAGTATAGGAGGCTACGCAAAAGGGTGTTCGAGTTCGAAGCTAAGCATCTGGAAGAATATAAAGTGAACATGGAGGAGATAAGGGAATAGAAGGAGATTGCCAATAAGTCGACAGAAAGGTTAGAATATCCAGAGCAAGGATTGATGGAGCTAGAAGGGAAGATGAGAAAGAGGCTTTGGGAGTGTCAAGGCATGGACGATAATGAAGGAGAGAAGCTGGCAAAGGCTTACTTGCTACTAGACATGTGCGATCTAGGGAATGTGATTGATAGGGTCAAGAGAGCCAAACATGGAGAAGGTCCTTCAGGGACCAAGTAGATTAGGAGATAATGTTCTTTACTGCTTTCTAGATTAGATTAGATTTCGATGTAAT